TTTTTTGGCCGGTTGTTTTCCCATGAAAACGTAAAAGGGGGTGGGGCTTGGACTTGGAACAGGAAAATTCCGGGGGGGGCGGACCGCACCGGGGGCCCCAAACCCTTTTCCCGGGGGGGGGGGACCGGGGTTCCAAAGCGGATTCTTTCGGAGGATTTTAGGACGCTTTTTTTGGATGGGCCTGGCCTTTTTTTTTATTGGGGGGGTTATTTTTAAGTTTGGGCGGCGGGGTTTTGGGGCCAAACGTTGGGGGGTTTGGGGGGGCCCGGGGTTTGGGGGAAACTTTGGTTTAGGGGAGGGGAAGGGATTCTTTCCTGGACGGGGGGAACTTGGGGCCCAAGGGGGGGGGGGACCGGGGGGGGGACCCCCGCCCACCAGGTGGGGGGAAAGTTGTTGGGGTTTTTTTGTGGGGGTTTTTTAAAAACCTTTTTGGCCCGGGTTAGGGAGAGGCCCAAATAAGGCCGGGGGAACCCCCCCCCCCCCCCACGGTCGGCACCACTGCCCCCCCTCCCCCCCCCCCACCTCTCCCATTCCACGGCGCTCTCAGTCCGTCACCATCTGCCGGACTGTTTGGTTGTGTGTGTTTTCTATTAAACGTTGACCGCGCTGAGGAGACGGTTTGACCACACAAAGAAAATTTCCTCGTGCGTGGGTCTCTTGCAAACACGAAATTCACAGGGTACCCACAAACGAGTCTAACAGTATCCAGGGGAACTTGGAGTGGAACCGCATGACCCAGAATTTTTCTGCCGCTTGTAGTTCCGCCCTCCTGCTATTTATTGCACAGATCCACCTTCCGTCATGACGTGCGGTTTTGTGCCAATGATGTCTTCTTTTGTTTTTTCTCGTTTCGGAACGCCGCAATCCTGAAACAGGGCTTGATGATGGAGCAGAGATACGAGCAGCTTCGCAGGAGCAATCTCGAGAAGAATGAGGGACTGCTGGAGCACACGAGGGGGCACAGCAGCTTGTAACGTGGCGTGCACGCGTTCGCGAGTGCGGTTAACTCACCATGTTTTTGTTTCGGTTTTGTTCTCTACATCGTATGGTGTCGATTTCGACGGCTCGAAGTGGGTTTTTGTATTCTCTTGGACCCACCAGGTTGTGTATCGGTGGTTGTGCATCGTATGTGTTTAGAGGTTCACAATCAATCTAATACAGCAAGGCTAATTGGACAACAGCGCGCCCTTGCGCAAATTTTGGATTGGATTGAGTAGTGGCGGGAGCTGCTGTAGTGGTGAACACCGTTCTTTCAGATGTCCTCACTTACCCGGAACCACAGTTTAGGGTTTCAATTGTATGGCACACGGTTCAGCCGTTCCTACCGACCGTTTCACTGTCTTTTGTCTCGGTTAGCCGAAATTTTGGCGCGAGACCGGTTGGCTGTGGCCCTGGACTGGCACTGTAGGCTTCGAATAGAATGGACAGCGAACCGTGACCGTTTCGTGTATGCGCTTGGCTTTGATAAGTCTCGTGTGTTAGTCTGGATTGTGGTCAACATCAGCGTTGTCGCTGTTTGCAGACGCGCACACCTAATATCTTTGGTCACTGTAGTTGGAGAGTTGGCTGGACAGTAGTATTCTGCGCGGCGTTCGGGTGTACTGCAGTATGTACATAAGCGGTGTGTCGTTTGTTGATGTAGAGACGGAAGATAAGACAGAAAGGCAAGCCACCGGGGGTATAAGCGAGAGCGATGTGCTCTGATTTTTTGTAATCGGTGACCCCTTTCTAGAGATCTCGGAACCTGCTAGTCTCTCAAACAAAAAGTGTGTGCAGTGTAAAACGGCGGTAGCGACGGAAGAAATAACGCTTTATAGACGATCTTCAAGCTAGTCTGTGCGACTCCGCTTGGTGTGGAGAAAACTACCGGCAGGTTTTATTTCAGCTGTCAAGGAGAACCCGAGCGGGAATGTTTGGTTTCTCATGTCTAAGCGCTTGGCATTTTTTGTTTTTTGTCTTCACTTCAAATCAGCTCTCACAGCACTAGTCCCGTTTACTCCAACCCGTGGTCACACAGAAGAGCCCTTCTCTCCCCTCCCCTCCTGCGGTACTTTGCCTTCGGTTTTTAACGCGAGAAGAGTTCAGCACTCTCTTCCCTCTGTGTACACACGAACTAGCGCTATCCACTAGGCCAGAAGCGGAAGCGAGAGAAAAACTCAATTTGCAAGAAAAGCTCGCTTCCGCCGGGATTCGAACCATCGAGCTGACCTCTAGAAGGTTTCGAGGATATCAACTAGACCACCGGGGCGACCGGATGTATGGCATAGAAGGGCGTGATCCCCATGGGGTTGGGTCGAGATATGCATTGCATTTCTTCGAGGTATCCGTGCCTATATTGTTCTTTGAAACCATGTTTTATGAAGAGTGGCTTCGATCGCTGCTTTTGGGCGTGTTGGCAATCAATAGTCTAGAAAAATGAAGACCTCCGTTGAACTACTGTAGTGCAAGTTTATGATGCGAAATCGTGGCTGCTGCTCCCTTGCGGACAAGCGATTCATTGTTACGCTCCGACGTTCTCCGGCGAGAAGAGACTCTTCTATCTCAGTCGCAGCCCCACGTGGTTATATGCCAAAGTCCACAAGCAACGCGCATGCCTACCGGAACCGATTCCGTTCGGCCTTTTCTTCTCTTCTCCTCTCTTCTCCTCTCTTCTCTTCTCTTCTCTTCTCTTCTCTTCTCTTCTCTTCTTCTCTTCTCTTCTCTTCTCTTCTCTTCTCTTCTCTTCGACACGACGAGAGAGTAAGGAAAGGAAAGGAAAGGAAGAGTGGCTTCCTGAGGCTCATGACCTGTCAACCTCTCATCCCTCTCGGTACAAACGATGACGCCCAACGCATCATCAAGAGAGCACATGAGATCATGAGATTACGCGACGACGACCTTGCATGGCCTCATGGCGTCGTGCCTTGACTTCCAAGATATGTTAGTTTTTGACGAAGTGGACTATATTCTGGTGTCTTGACCAGAGAGATGATAGTATTGGCTAGGAACATGCCAAGCCAAGTGAGCACCAAACATGAAGTACCTATCATGCCTTTAGCCTTTCTTGGGCGCTAATTTTTTTAAGAAGGTCCAGGGTGTCAAAATATTGGACCTTAATGGCAACGGTAACGGCGACAACCACAACACCAACCGAAGCCGGGCTAGACTAATCGGGTCAGAAGTACTTCCACGCACAGTTGTTTGAAGACAACGAACAACGTCCATTTTAACACCTTCAACAACTCGGCATGTATGTACGGTACAACAAGAAAATAGTGGATCTACGCTAAGCGAGAGTCTCTCCTGAATATCTATCCGTCGGAGAGGGCCATACGTTGTTCACGCTCCACCCAAACAAGAATCGAAACATGTCTATAAGCCCTCGTGTGAGCTGTCTATCACTTATGTAGGCCTAACGACGGGGATTTCTCTAGTTATTAAACGATCTGCCTTTTGTAGTTAGAAATCACATTCATCCGAATCATCGGTCGCTCTCAATTACGTAAGTTCGAACTGTCTATGTACACTTTGTTGAAAACGTCGGCGGGCTCCAAACAACGTCACAGCTGCTGTTTGCTGGGTGGAGCGTGAGGTAGGGCACCCCCGGTGCGTGTCGAGCAGGAAGCGCAACACGTGTTCCGACAACAAGGAGTAACAATAACATCATCAGGAGAGGAGGGCCTTGAACTCGGGAAACTCGATCTCGCCCGAGCCGTCTGCGTCGATCTTGTTGATGAGGTCCTCTATGTTTATCGTCAGGCCGAAGTCAACCTTGATGATCTTTACCAAGGCGCCCCTGAACACAGGGAGAACAACGTTGAACAAATATAATCGGTGACGACGGCATTGATTCTGGTCACCATCCACCGTGGTACGCTGTTACACTCTTAGGATTCAACTAGCTTAAAACTAATCTTTGAGTGCCCTGAAATCGGAAGACGAGTGCATTATTTACGGGACGGGATAATTTCCGGAGGGTGCAACACTTATTTACGTGCCATCATTGTGTGGGCCTCGGCTTACCTTTTGACGTGACCCGTTTTGTCCATCCTCCCTCCACAAGCGACGAAGGCGTCGATCATGTCCGTCTCGTCGTCGAAGTTTTGCGCCCGAGTCTTTTGGTTCTCGATAACCTTCACCGGCAAAGTCCCCATGAGGATGGCAATCACGCACGGTAGGTCGCACTCGAGGAGGTGGGAACTTCATGCTTGAGACCGGATGTGAGTGACATTCTTTGATGACGGTAAATATGAAAGCAGATGCAAGTTATTCTGGAGTTCGCGTTCGCTACTTTAGTGGTGGCGTGTGTATGAATTGGGTGAGTCTGGCATTACAGAGATAGTCTAGATATTGTTGTTTTGCTACACTCAACGTTTCACCTTCGAAGCAAAATGACCAATCAATGTAACGTGAAGTTCACGGGGAAAACACAAGCAGACTACAGGCCGGGAGCGGCCATGAACCGTGTGCGCTGCCGTTCTATTGAAAGCTTTAGGAAATCACGTCCAGGTTGAGAATGTTTCCCTTGCAAGGGGTTTCAACAGCGTGTGAATATCCCGTGCGTTCACGTGGCTCAAAATGTTTCCTTATCCTAACTATCCTATCGATATCACTTCCCGCCGGTTGCCGAGGATGTGTTCATGTACAAACATCATGCCGTAGTCGTTTGACCTTCGCCCTTGCATCCCTACAAAGCCGGGGCGGAGCAAGCCGGGTTTCCACCGGATCAGGCTAGCGAATCCCCAAGCGCAAAGCGCCGTGACATATTGGGGGGGGGGGCGGTACTCATAGTCGTGCATGCCGTACAACTTCGTTAGACCATTGACTGACCTCATTCCTACGAAGCCGGGACGGAGCACGCCAGGTTATCACCGGACCGGGCTCTCACATCACGAAGCGCGAAGCGCCGTGAGATATTTTTTCGGGGGGTGCCTAATCGACCGCTGGTATGTGGAGCCCTCTTTTCTCCCTCTATTTCTTGTAGAGATTGCATGATGATTATTGAATGCTCGTTGAAATCAGTGTTGATTGAAGGTGATCACGCTTGCTTGCTACTGTATTTATTTTTCAGGTCCTCCACCCCTGAGGATAGGTATTGAGTGACCGGGTGTTTGCACACCCCAAAGGAAGCGTAAATAAATGGTATAGACAATACAGGTGCTCGATTGACTTTGGGTTGTTCTCTGAGAAGGACGAAACGACCATCGTTGGGTGTATGTAGTATGTGTGTTGTACTTTTTTTACACACTACAATACATACATGCAGCAGACACGGAACGGCTGTATCACAACGAACGTCAGGAGGAGTGAACCTAAGAACGTCTAGTCCTACACTCTGCCTGCTAGGGTAGTACAAGTACCATGTGTAGAGTGGGCACAGCGCTATCATCATGCCACATGTACACATACCTGCAAGTTGAGTATCAATCCAAGACATTTCTTCTTTGCTCTGCAGATATTTGTAAGACTGCGCACCTCACACAACTTCATTACGAACGAACGGTGGTGCCACCCTCACAATTAAGTTCATTTTACTTCAAGGCAAGAAGAGAAGTACTTCACCTACGATAGCGAAGGCAATCGACCCACATCAGTCGCAGGCATCGATCTCTCACCTTTAGCCAGATGAAGTAGTCTCTCACATATATATGCGTAGTATGCGTTCGACTATTATTATTATCATCCCACAAATACCACATGGTGGTGCACCTTTCTATCGGAGAACAGAATAGATAAACCCATCAAATCAACCGCAGGCGGTTGGCTGTACCTTGAGAAACTCCGGAAAGTCGATGGAGCCAGACATGTTGTCGTCTACCTCGCTTATCATCTGAAAGAGCTCCTCTTCCGTTGGTTTCTGCCCCATCGCTTCCAGCACCTTCAAAACAAATGCGAAGGGTTTTCGAGAGCGAGCAACGTTTGGACTCGGGGCGTTCTTGGATCGCATTCGGAAACATCACAACCAAGAGAGACTGGAAACAATTGACGTCTGTCATACGGATCAACCTACTTGTAGGCTTGGCTGGGAGTAACGCGCAAGACTCGAGTGCACACTGCCACACGGTGCACCCCATACATGCGGAGAAACTATCAGAAACCCATCCATGCGTAGAAAGTGTAGACTAGACTATTTACTCGGTCGTTGTCTGACACCTACATATATATTAATAGACATGCGGGCTTGTGCCACCGCGCGTAAAGAGAATGGGGATGTATTCCGACCTCACCATGCCCTGCTCGGCCGACCATATGCGCATAGCCTTGTACCTCCAGATGGCTAACACACACATACCATGGCAGATGGTACAACGTTGCTTAGGAACAGTATCAGTCCACCGGTGAGCCGCCGGTGTGTGTCCAGATTCATTATTTGCTGAAAGCGCCGACCACCAAAAAAATATGTTTTTGTGTCAAGCCGATCAAGTCACCTGTCGCAGTTCCCACACATCAATATTGCCGCTCCGGTCCTTATCGAAGGCGAGGAAAGCATCTCGGCAACCGTCGATCTCCTCCTGCGTGAGGACCATGCCTTCATACCTCCGGCTCAGGCTGGCTGTGCCGTGGGTCCGTGGTTGATGCACCACGCCGTGGATGGAACATGACGGTTTCATTTTTCAAGAACGCCGACTGGAACTCCCAAACTTTCATGATCGATAATTAATACAATGAATTGGAAGTGCGAACGTTCGTTTGCTGTTTGTGGCGGGGTGGGTGGGCGCGGTGGCGAGGTGGGAGGCGAGCGAATGAGAGCAATCGCGCCGATGGCACCACTCACTTATGAACATGATGTCGCAATTGGCCTAACAGGGACTATTTTTGTGTGCAGTAGTATCGAGAAATATATTTTGAGGTTTTGGGGGATTGGGGGAACATTTTTGTAGTGCAATGACTCTTGAGAGCTTACTAACTTGCATGTCTCTCAGTATTTTTGAAGTTTTGAAGGCGTGGGTGTGGATTCCCGCCTTAAGTAACTGACGTATGCAAACGTTGGTTGGAAAGCTCAGTCTTGGGGGTCGAGGCACTGACTGCTAATTCACCGTGTTTCATGTACAGTATGTGCTGCAGGTCCTCTCCGGAGGGCCCTTTGCGGATGCCTGTCAAGTACTACCAAGATGGATGATTTGTGGCTGTGCCATGACCAATAAGTAAAATCGAATGCGACAAACAGACGTGTTGCGAGGTTGATTTCCACCATTTCGACAAACCAACACACACCGGGTCTCAGATCCTGTGGTGTTGATGGGAGGAGGACGGCACAGGCATCCACGCTGCCATAAAAAATTGAGCCTTCTTGCCGTGAACAAAAAATGCTTTTTTGCCTTTTCAGTATCCATGACTTTCGTTGGGCCAAACAAGAGCGACAGAAGAGAAGAAGGTCAGGCCTACTGCTGAAACTTCATTTTCTTTCGTCGTCCAAACGAACGTTTTCCTTGTATTATTCACTCCATACTACTGGTATCGAATAGGAATCAAGAGAAACCGGAGGCATGTTGGTGCGAAGCGGAACGCCAATAATCACGCATGCATCTACGAAGTATTGCAGACGTGGAAACCTATCATGACCCAGTATCAAACCCTGTTGGTTGGCCTACTCTTGACATAACTCAATGGACTGCTGTAGCCTGACCACACTAAAACGTATAAGTACCATAGAGCAAGCCCCAGTCAGTCCGGGAATACTCCGCAAGACTTCAGAATGAAGAATTGTAGAACAAACTACATCAGCAACAAGAGGAAGATGAAAGAAGCACAGCCAAAGACAAGCCCCATCGTAGATGTGCATATGTAAGTTGGAGAGGTTGGAGAGGACGTCGAATGAATTCAAACGCACCGGCGAGGTGGGTAAGACAAGAACACACATAAACATATCGCAACAAGGGGCTGTGCTAAAGAGTCCACTCCCACCTCGAGTCCTTGGCCGACGCCCTCCCAGCAAGACCCGATGCGAAAACATTTCATTGAAACTCACACCACATGACAACAACAGCACGCAAAAAGGTTGCCACAAAAAAAAGCAGTAATGCCATCACTCTACACATCGATCGACCGCACTCTCTCCGCGGATCTCCGGCAACAACCGAGCTCTCCAGTGTTGCAGCACTATTTAGCCCGGGCGGGAGTTGATAGACGATGGCACTGGCCTCCTCCAGTCTTCCTCCTCTTCTAGCCGCCGCGCCAGCGCCAAGATCGATCCGGTCTCGAGCAAGAAGCTGACCAGCTTCTCGTTCTCGATCAAGGCTTCCGACCCGGTTGACGCGCTCCGGAACAGGCTGCTCACGCTGCTGCTGCTGTTCGCGCTGCTGCTGCCGCTGCCACCGCCGACCGGTGCCTCTTGCCAAGGGATCGCGACACCGGCAGGCGACACACCGCCGCTGCTGCTCACGGTACCGGCGACCCCCGTCCCTCCCTTGCTATTCACACTCGCCGCCGTTGTCGTGACTCTGCTGCCTACCGTAGTCGACGTGGGCGAAAGAGCATTCGCGGTCGGGAGTCCTCGCGAAGACGGCCCGACCGGCTTCGCCACCACCGCTGCCGCCGCCACCGTCGTCGCCGTCGCCTGTGGCCGTGAGCCAATCACACCCGCCCGGTTGGAGGGGCCCGGAGCCCTAGCGGCGGCCGGCAATCCCGCGAAAGGCGCACCGAGAGAAGACCCCGCCGCCGCCGCCGCCGGCGAAGAAGCAGAAGAAGCGGGCGGGGCAACAGAGAGAGGGTTGTGTCTCGCGTCCATGATACTCGAAGACGCACCCCACACGGACCCCGGGCCCGGCCCCTGCCGTTGCGGGGCGAACTGCGAACCGTTCGCTACGGGCTGGCGGAGGACTCCTTTCGCGGTTGTTGAGCTCGGCGTACCCACAGGTCTGGAGGACACCGCCGGGGGCACCGCGGGCTTGACGACACCAGCACCCCCCCACGCACCCCCGGGCCCCCCGCCACCGGGGGGAACTACTTGCACGTGTGAGGGAGACGGGACGGAAACACGCGGCGCTGTACCGGTGGCGGCGGCGGCGGTGGCCGGCGGTGGTGATGCCACCGCGCTCGACCGAACCAGCGTAGCCGCCGGAACGGCGACATTCGCGGGGCTTGATTCGCTCGCCCAGACGACAGAAGAGGTCCCGCCGCTGCCGCCGCCGCCCGACCCAACCGGTGGTGCAGGTGCCGCCGCCGCCCTCTGCTGCTGATGCCCCTTGTTCCACTTGGTGCCTCCAGCTCGCTTCCCGCCGGTGCCGCCGACTACAACCCACGGCTCCTCGCCATCGTCCTCGAGGGCTCTGCTAGCCGCCGCTGTCGGCGAGCCTTTCCACCTGTTAGCGGCGACAGCCGCCGCTGTCCCATAAGAAGCAGCAGACGACGACAACGACGACGACGACGACAACGACGATGACGACAAGGCCGAGAACAAAGTCTTGCCGTTTTCTCTCCCTACCGCCGCCGGCTGCTGAGGGTCTCTCCTGCCCTGCTTCTTCCCCGGGCGCCGTTGCCCCCGCTCTTCTTCCTCCTCCTCCGGCGAGGGTGCCGTGGGTGTCACCGCCGCCACCGCCGCCTGAGCACGGCCCAAGGGCGGCTTCTTCGGCGGGGTTGTTGTTGTTGTTGTTGCTGCTGTTGCTGTTGTTCTCCGGCCTGCGCCGCTCTTCTTTGCGGCGGCTGCAGCGGCGGCGGAGTTAACCGCCGCCGCGGTGGCGTTGATGATGGCGGCTGCCGTCGAGGTTGCCGGCGATGTGCGGTTGTCGTGGTACTTGGGGTCGCGGGGGGACGACGGGCTGTACTCGTCCTCGCTGTTGCTCTCCGTGGAGGCACTGCTGCTAGCCTTGTTGGGCGAGGATGACCGGTCATGCCCCTGGCCGTTACAGGACACGCGACACACGCGAACGTGTTAGCATGGTGCGAGATGCGGATGGGGCGAGTAGAGGAAAATTTAAAACTGTGACGTAAAAAGGGCTTGAGCGGGGGAAATCAATGGTGTACATGTCACGATTCGAAAAGGGGCTTCTCCTTGAGGCGCTCCGGTGTCGTTCGGCGGCTCAAGGCAATACATGGGCAAGGCAACAAGCCACCGCAACGCCGCCACTTTTTAACGCAGGTCGCCTTCACAACTCAACTGTTGTTTGAGATACTACACTACGAACGAGAGTGGCACAAGCAGGAATCCCTCCACCATACCATGGACAGGAACCATCCACAAGAAACAGCAGACGGTGCTTGTCGCGGAGCCCCCGACTGGAAAAATCAAATCAAAGACAAAGGAATAGCTCCGCACCAAAGACAGCAGTACATGTAGTCTGATTCTTCAAGATACTGGGTCAATCCCATACCTCGGAGCTCATTAGAATGTAAGTAAACGACGATGAGAAACAACAACCGCCAGCAATTTGTGTCTATACAAAATACAGCCAGATACGTGTGCACCCAAGTGAGGTGCGTTCCAGTAGGCGATCGATGCTACGCTTTTGGCAGACGACTTGTCGCCAAAGACGGTCAGCGAAGACTAGTGCTCGATCTACTCCAAATCATCAATCAGATTGGCGTACCTCGCGATGGCAACGGCCACTGATGGCGGTGTCCACGAGTTTCTAAACAGCAACGCCGCAACAGCGTCTAGCCTGACCTCCCCTAGGGCGAGAGGTATGCGACGTGCACACACACAGTGGCGCGGAGTCTACTCCTTGTGCTCCAGACGCAGGGCACTACTGTCGTCCCAACTCCGGCCCCACCTCCCCCCCCTGATGGTAAAACCCTTTGGCTAGATTGCGTGTTCGCGTTTTTATTTTCCGTCTAAAATGCAGTGTTTTCACTGGTCAGCCGGCTAGCGCGGTCGATGCCAACCAAAGAAACACGCACACGCATACACACGGGGGATCTGCGGACAAAACAAGCGTATTCACGTCCGTCCGACTCTCCGTCCCCTGCGAAAGACCGCCTTCATTTCGTCATCCAGACAGATACATAGCGCGGTGGCCGATTGCTTCTACACACCGACCTTCTTTCCTAAGCCAGGTGATCGCTGGCCGGGCATCGCCTTTTCGCCATCGCTAGCTTTGTCCTTGTCCTTCCCTCCCGCCTTGCCGGCCCGCTTCACGCCGCCCGGCGGAGCAGCAGCAGGTTTGTCCCCGCCGGCCCCCCTCCCTCCGCCGCCGCCGCCGGCCGCCTTTGCCTCCTTCGGCAGAGGGTCTATGGCCAACTCCTTCGCCGCATTTTTCTTCTTTTCTCGCTTCTTAGCCTGCTTTGTGAACAAGGGCATTGACGGGGGGGGGGGGGGGGGGGGGGCCCCCCCCAAAAAACCCTTTTTTTTGTGTAA